TGAAAACAGTGAATTTTATGGCTTCTCTGAATTCTTCTACTGTACTGAGGATGTGCTGCGCCTGGGCGGCCAGTACAGCGCCCCCACCTTCACCACTGCTGCCCAGGTGGGTGCTGCCCCAGCCTGGGGGCTGGGGATCCACCGTGCCTGAGACTGTGAGGGAGCGGGGACCATTCCTTTGCTCTGATCCCCAACTTCTCTATTCCCCAGGAGTACTGCAGCCAGCGATGGGAGGTGCTAACCCAGCGCTTCCGTGGTGGCCTCTACTCAGCTCATGCAGACCAGCACCGGCTGAAGTAAGTAGCTTTACTGGGAAGGTTCTATGGCCAGACCTCCTGTGAGGGCTTTTGCAGGTGACAGGATTTGGCTGATGCTCCTGCGCACTGTGCCTGCAGGTACCAGTGCTTCAAATCGGCCTGGATGTACCAAGTCCTTCACAAGGGCTTCCAGTTCCCCCTGGACTACCCCAGCCTGCGCACAGTCCAGCTGGTGTACGACCGGGAAGTGCAGTGGACACTAGGAGCCATCCTGTACAAGACACGGTTTCTGCCACTCAGGTACCATTGGCTTGCTGATGGCATCGCCTGAGAAAGGGTGGTCGGGGAGGAACAGAATTTACTGCACTGGGTGAGAGCTCTGCACCTCGGCAAAGGAGAGAAGTGGTGCAGGGCTCTAGTAGTACCCCATGGCATCTCATGGCCAGTCCTGGCTCCTATCCACAGGGATCTCCGGCAGGAGAGCATCCGGCAAGCACACACCTCCTGGCTGCGCCTCTCTTTTGTCTACAATCACTATCTCTTCTTTGCCTGCATCCTGGTGGTGGTGCTGGCAATAGTCCTCTACCTCCTGCGGCTGCGCCGCATCCACCGCCGGCAGCTGCGCTTGGCCCAGCTCACCACACTCTGGCTGGACAAGGTGGTGGTGGTGCCAGGCCAGGGAAATGGGCCATAACTCTGATGGTACTCACCGTCCAGTTGCACCAGCAGAACCAGGACTGGCTGACAGCCTGGGCTCTGAGGGCTTGGACTCTCTTGAACAGCATCTCAGCTGCACTCCATCATCTCCACGTCAGAACCAGCAGAACCCGTGGGCTGAGGAAGCTACAGCCACTTGAGCTTTCCTCTCCACCTCAACCCAGTCCTAATCTTTGCATTCCTTGGCCTCTGGCCTTCCCCCTGCTGTGTTGTGTAGAGCAAAGTCCTCTGCTGCCAGCGGGCTCAAGGCTGCAGCTCAGCAGTTCCTGAAGATAAGCAGAACACTATCACCGAGGCAGCCAACCTGTGGCTGTGGCCTGAAGCACTGGGCCACCTCATGACTCAGCCGCAGGTTTGCAGAGCAAGCTGGTAAGGTGCTGTAGCTTGTCCCTAGGGGTGGCCTTTCGGTAGTCCCTTATGAATCCACGTGCTGGAGAGCAGCAATCACCAGCGAAGTTACTGCAAGAACCAGGTGTATCGTGAGCGCCACTGAGCTGCTCTGCCCAGCCCCTCTTGCAGTGTTAAGAGGTGTCCTGCTCTTTGCCACATCTTCCCCTCCCAGGATAGTCCCCCTAGAGTCCTAGCCAATGCCCCAGGCTGAACACAGAGGGCTCAGGGGCTGGTTCCTCAGGCACCACTCAGGTGGACTGCTTCCTTTCATACATTCCCTCCTGGGCATGTCTGCCCCGTGGCATCCCACACGTTAACTGGGCACTAGTACCAGGACCAGTGGTTCTCTCTGCCATGAGTGCAGGCTGGCCCGGCCCATGGGGAAACCACCTTTATCCAGCCCAGGTCACTGCTGCAGGGCAAGCCTGGGCTGTGTGCACAGGCACCAGCCTTCCTCCCCTGGGGCTGGAGCCCCTGATGACTCCATGAAATTCAAAACTTTTACTTGAACTCAGCTGTTCCCATTCCTGCAGCAATAAACAAACCCCTTGACCCACCACGCACTGGTTTTGTTTTCTAGCAAACACCTCCCCAGGAGTGATGGCTTCAGGCTGGCAGCTTGACAGGTGTTACTTTGTGATGCCAGGGTGGAGCAACAGAGTTGCTTCTTGCCAGCAGGACAGCTGAGCTCAACTGAGCTGGTAGCAGCAAGGGAAGCTCTGATTAAAACTGAAATGTTGGAATCCTTGGAGACAGCACCTTTTGCTGCTCCTCCTCTCTCCTAAGAGGAAAAGCCCCCGGAAGATGTTGTTCCCTACTTTTTACCTTATTCTCCACCCAGTCTTATGGAGCTTCTTGGGAGAGAGGCCACCAAGCCTCTTCAGCTGCAGCCCAGCCATGGGGGTGGCCCCAGCATGGCTGTTTGCCATCAGGGAGGCTGGGCAGGCACCCAGTTCTCCCTCTGGCATGTGCTGTTGCCTACCTGTGACCCTGGTCCCACAGGATGATTGCACAGGTGGCATAAAGGATAAAACTTTCCATGCATCAGTGTGCTGCCAACCTCCTGCTCAACAGCTGAGGATCCCAGCCTTGTTCTTATGGTGCAAGAGCAGGGTTGGTGGGAAGGGAAGAAGTCTGAATAAAGTCAAGACTGTTTCCTCAGCCTCAAACCAGCAAATGACTGCTTCCAGCATCACTTACTAGAAAAAGGATTTATTTCCACAACACAAATTTAAACACAGATAAATAAATAAATACACATAAATTATCTGATAAATAAGGGGAAACCTAAAAAACAACACCCTACTCAGTTCTCAAAACCCAGACAGAGGTTGGGGTGGCGATGATACCTGCAGCACCCTCACTGCTGGGGCAGAAGACACAGCACCACATGAAGCCCCTGCCCTGTACCCCAGCCCCTCCTTCATCATACCCATGGGGGTCAGGGTCAGCCCTCCCTTCTCACAGCCACCATCTGTCTTAGCAAGGACCACCATCATGACAGGGGAACTGACCATACAATGAGGATGCAGTGGGCTCCTACCTTTGCACAAAGAGGGGCAGAGGGGCAGCTGGTGCCTGAAATGACCAGGAATATGGCAACTAGTTGGGGCAGCTTAGGCTAGGGGCAGGGATTTCAATTAGGGAGCACATTGAGGGAGAATGGCAAGCACTGCAGGAACAGGATCCACTGGCACTACACATAGATCAGTCTCAGGATGTTGCTCAGTTTCAGTGCTGCAGCACATGACCAGCTGAGGGGATCCCTGCTCCCAGGGCTGGGATGACCGGGCCCTTGTCCTGGGCAGGGGTGCTGCCTGCCATGCTCAGGGGCTCAGTCATCATTGGTCCAGTCTGCAGTGCTCAGGGTGCGCTGGGGCAGCAGATCCAGCCTCCATCCCAGCACCTCTGGGAGCTGCCTGGTACAGGAGGATAGAGGCTGGAACAGCAGTGGGAGCTGGGGGAGGGAGAAAGGAGAAAAATTAGCACCAAACTGCACCCGTGATGGAGCCCCCCCAAACCTTGAGAAAGATGGGCCAAGGGGGAAGCACTCAGTTTGCTCAGGCCCAGCACAGAGCCAGCAGACCCACACCAAGACGAGCTCATCACAGTCACAATGCACAGAAGCCAAAGCTTCTCCCTTCCCAGCCAGACAAGCATGGACATCCCTGCCACCCCAGCCTTCTGCCCACTCACAGTGACGATCTCGGGGGGTCTCTACGCAGGTGCCAGGGACTGCTCACTCCCAGAGGAAGCGCACGTACCAGACGGTCTCATTCTTCAGCTGCGGCCCGAACAGGGGGTTGGCCTGGGCCAGAATGGCGATGAGCCAGCCGCAAGGACGCCCGGAATGACGTCAACCCC